TAAAAAATAATATATAAAATAAAAAATATTATTATTTAATTTTATATATTATAAAAATATTTATATTATTTATTATCTCCTAAAACAATTAATTTCCTTCTCGATTGAAAATATAATAATAGACATAATATTTGTATTTACAATTTTTTTAATTTAATTTAAATATTGAGGTTTAAATCGTATAATATTCAAATTTTATAAAAAAAATATAATGATTTTAATACATTATATATTTATAATTAATATTCTTTTTTTTAGACACCATTCCGGTATTATCCAGATATTAACATTTTATTAAATAGTGATTTCATTTTTAACTTATATATTTTTTAAATAAATTTTTACCCTTGTGCTTTATATCATTTTCTTATTTTCTGATTTATTATAAAACTTTGGGGAATTGGGATAATCAAATCATTAATTGATTTTGTATAATTTAATTTTTATTTTCAAATCATAGTTAAAATTGCATTAAGATTTTGGGCTGTATAATCAAAAATTTGTTTATATATCTTATGGGAATAAAAATATATTACGCAATTTGACTCAGATTATATATTTAACATATTATCGTATAAATACTTTTAGTTTTATTTTAGGATTTTTGAGAATATTTTTAAATATTTTTGCTACAATCATGGATTATAGGAGTGGAAAATGAGAATTAAATAAATACATATTATATGTTTTATCTTACGCAAGAAATGTTTTAGAGTGATTTATGCTAGTGAGTGTTATGTATTGATGTATTAACGGATTATTTGTAATTATTGAGTGTAAAAAAAAGAAGAAAAAGAAAAAGGATTATCATTATTAGATTTACGAAAGTTTTTGTATAAATATTTTATATGAAATAAAAAAGCGACATTCGTTTAAAATTATGTATATTAAATTCTACAAGTAGAACCACTATATTCCACCATTCATAAAATAGATCTACTATCATATTATTCCAAATAGGAATTTAATTTTATATATAAGATGGCTCAAATAAAAATGTGGTATTTCTGAAATCTTTATGCCTCAATAATACCTGACCTTTTATAAAAAATCCTGTATCTTATATCTAAAATAAAAGTATTCAAGGTAATTAATTCCAAACTCGGAAGATATGTTGTTATAAATCTAAAGCAACAATGATAGTGGATCAATTAATGAATGGTATAAAAATTGAAAATTTAGCAGTAGGGGAATAGTATATTGAGTTACTTAAATAATGAATTTAACAAAGAGGGTATAATTAAATCACAGTTTATCTAATCCTAAAATTCATCTGGATGAATCTTTTTTACCACATAATTAAATCAAATAAGACAATACAATCACTGCAAAGGATTTTCTATTCAGATATTGGAATCTAATGACACACAAACAAATATTCTATTACAAACATCTCCAAAGTGGGAAAAGATTTTAGCAGATGGAAGGAAAAAAAAATTAAGCAATAATGGACAAGTAAAGAACAACCCTTTTAAAGATTGTTATTGTTATTATGTAATGTAAAAGACAACAAATGATAAATAATGCGATTAAGAATTTTTTTGATTCATTTTTTCTGTAAAGTCTAAAATAATAATTTTAAAAAAATCAAAAACTAAGTTTTTAATAATTTGTTTTCTAATTTAATAAAAAATCAAATATTATCATTTTAAATCATTTAGTAATGGAACATTTTTTTCAAATAAGACATCATTTTCTTCTCTTTGGTCCTTTAATCAAATTTGCAAATCGAAATAAGGTAGACAATTTTAAAAAAAAATTATAAGTGTAACAAGTTTTTAAACGAGGCTAAAAATAATATTTATTGATACACTACTGTTTATGATTAAGCAATTTTCGTCATAACAAAAAAGATTAGTAAATAATTAGATACAAGGAGTTTTTAAATCTCAAATGTAATTGAATTAGACGGTAAATGGTCATATTTGAAATTTGAAATTTATTTCAGATAATATATTTCTAAAATGACATTTTTGAAATCATGTACAACATAAATTACTTACATAATAGAAAATAAAAAATCATTCTTTATAAATGATATTCTCTATAAACGGCATTCTCTATAATTGTTTTCTCTATAAAAGTTTCACTATAATCGCAATCTCGTTTCTCTGCAAAGGCGGGATACCAATATATTTACATTGCATCTATGGATAAAATCGCTAGTCAACTGGAAAGACGATTTGGCCAGCATAAAAAAATATTTTTTTAAAAATAACTTAATTTTTTTAAAACCCCACAAAAATGTAAATTTTCTAAGCAATTTTAGCCAAGCCAACAATTTGATAGCAATAAAATTTATTTGGCGCCAGATAAGGACAGCGTTTAGAATGGGAATTTGGAGCACTCTGAACTGCGTCAAATTTAGGAAAATTAAAAATGGAACCTTGACCACCAACTTATTTAATATATTTTAACGTAAAATTTGTTCAATTTGATCACCGTTGGCACTACGATATATGCCCAGACTAGACATTTTCCCTAATTAATATTAATTTCTTAATAGTAGTTAATGGAAATTTGATCGGGACTTAAAATATTGGTCAAAAGGGAGTTAACCTTTCCCAAATTAGGAAATGTTGTATTGTATTAGAACCAGAGATCTTTTTTTTAGTTAAGCTCTAGTTTATAAACTCCGATAAAATTATAAACCCAAGCCGGAGATAATATAAAACTCGTAACATTCCGTAGCATAGAATAACCATATTTACTACAACTCTATAAAAATTGGCGCAACCAGTCCAAATCCAAAGACCAGCCAGTGAGCTGGCGAGCGGTGATTCTACCCACCGAGTAGATTAAAATTGATTACGGTCAGGACCTAAATACAGGATAGAAAATTTCAATGGACGGGGCCACGCTGAGCACTAATCTGCATGTTCTGTAATATATTTTAAAAAAAACGCAATCTAAAATACAAATATTTTTTTTTTAAATTCAATAAGGGGGGGGGGTGCGCTAAGGATTTCTAAAACTAAGGAAATCCCCCTGTAAATCTAATTTGCAAATTTTATATAGAATTACTTTTTTTGCATATTTTAGATAAAATTTCCTATTGCCTTCTCTTTTTTTGGCTAATTTTTAAAATGTGAGCCTCCCGTAGCTTAAAAAGCTAGGCGACGTAATTTGAGGTTTAAAAAAAAGAAACTTAAATGTATACTTATGGGAAAATAATATTAAAAAAGTTGAATTTACGTGATAAAAAACAATTTATATAGGAATTTAAAGGTTTTTTTTTTGCTTTGCTTTAAATTTATACTTTTAAATTTATAAAAGAAATTAGGCCTTAAGTTAATATTTATATTTAGTAATATACATTGTAGCAATTTTTATCTTAAATTGATTGACTTAAAATAGTTTGGCTTAACTATAAAAGGTATAACTTCGGTAAGGTAATACATAAATCATCTAAATATTTTTTTAATTACCTTTAGAGAAGAAAAAAATATAATTTTTTTAAACATTTACTAAATACTCTTTAAATGAATATTCGCCAAAATTTAATGGTAATAATAATTATTTATTTTTTTTTTCAAGTTTTTGCATATTTATATTTTGTCCATGTAATAATTGCGTTATAATAATAACTTTAAATTAGTTTTCTCATGTTAGAATTAATTTTTCCAACCAAAATTAAATTTTTTTTTTAATGGTTTAAAAATTATTGTTAGCGCTCAACTCACTTAAAATCATGCCATTCTAAAGTTGATTTTTTTTTCTTTCTTTTATTTTTACTAGACTTATCTTTTTTAAACTCATTATTTCTGATTAGCAGAGTTGTTAAAGTATCTATATAGTGATCTAGATATAAAAATGTGGTATCTGTATCTAGATAGATTTTTGATTAAAGTACCTGTATCTGTATCTGTATCTAGACCCATTTATAAAGTATCTTTTAACAACTATGCTGATTAGTGTCGTTAATGCCCGATTTAGATTTCAGACAAAAATAATATAATGTGAGCCTGTAGATTTTGCTCATAGATGGGCAGAAAGGTTTGAGGCTCTATTTGCCAAATCTAGAGGTTTACATATTTTGGCTAAAATCTTGATAGGGCGGTTTAACAACACTAATTCCGATAACTTTTTCCGGTGTTTAATCTTGAAGAATAGTGATTATTATAATAACAAATTCTAGAAGTTTCGAGGCTTCGAAATCGAACAGGATATGAACTTATGAGAATTTTTTTTTTATATCAGGCCTCCCTCTTATCGATTTTCTTACTTATGTTGTTAACCTTTGACCAACTGTCCAAAAGTAGTGTCCAGGTCACGGCACATTACTATGGAGGGAATGGTGGGTACGGACACGGAGGCTATGGGCATGGCGGAGGTTATGGGCATGGCGGAAGTTATGGACAAAGCTATGGGAATGACGGAAGTTATGGTGGAGGCTATGGGCATGGCGGAGGAGGATATGGTTATGGCCACAGAAGGCATCATTACAACTCCGATTATTACAACAACGAAAATGATTATGATGATTTATAATCAATATAAAAATACCTTGTTCTGATTATATTAAAGTATTTTTTAAAAATTTCCAAGAAGATGTGAGACACAAATAAAATCATTTTTAAAAAAAATAAATAAATTCGTATATCATTTATAAAATATGAAAGGAAAATGAATATTATATTTTTAAAATTACTATCATAAATGATGCAAGAAGTAAAAATTGGGTGCAAATCATGATATTCACAAGGTAAATATAGCTGATTCAGGGTTATTAATGATTTACATGTCAGATTTCTGCGCTAATGCCTCTGTAAATTTTGGCAAAAACCAAAGATACCGAATTGGGGCAGCACAATAATGAATTAATACCAATTAGCTGTATATGCCATATACTACATAATTCTTGCAAGAAGGCAATGAATGTACTATCAGTGGATGTCGAAATAATTTTGTCAATTTTTTATATATATCTAAAAAATTTATTAGGTTGAGATGTAGATATTCATTTTATTTAAATCTATGGAAAATATGAATTATTATTATTCACAAATTTCAGTATTAGAAATTATTTTACTAAGAAAATAAGTGTATTTTTTTTTTGAAAAAATTCTGTTTCAAAATATGGGCTCTTTATTTTTTGATTTACAAATTCAATTCATAATGATTTTAAAATGAGATATAAACATAAATAATATATTATTTTTTTTAAAAAAAAATAATGGTATAAATTAATGACTGGTCGAAATATTTTGGGCAAAATAACAAGAACTAATAATAAAAAAAGCAATTTATAAAAATGTTTTAAAAAAATTTATAAGGTGCATTGAATAATATTGTACCATACCAGGGTTGTTAAATCACATAAATTTGGACAACTACAATATGGACTTAGCCAAACTTATTATTAAGAGTAATTTATTTTTTTAAGGGAGGGATGGGAGGGGGGGGGGGGGGTTGATTTAACAAACACTAGATCACGTGTACTTAAAATAAATTACATTAAATTATACATTTTCAATTTTACAAAAAATAAATAATTTTGGATATTGTTTCATTTTTAAAAAAAAATTAATCATTTGTGGCTTCCGAAATTTCATCCTCTAAACTTTTGATAAATTTTTCGGTATTCGCTAATTTTTCATGAATATCGTTTTTGCTTATTGTTTTGGCGGTGTTGGTTTTATCTAAATTTATGAATGTCGAATCATTTAACTTTGACATATCTTCACTCAGCAACGAACCCATCATTTCAAATCCAGCATCGGCTTCTTTATTATTTGTATCTGTACTAAGTTCAGTGATATCATTATTTTTGCTGAAAGGTGTTTTTCCTACCATTTCATCTGTCAGTGTCATGTTGAGATGTTCAAAGTCATTGGGATCTTTAGTTTCATGATCGTTTTTCTGGGAACTTGTTAGGCTTACAGAAGTTGAAAGAGAATCTGGAATTTCCAAGTCTCTGAGATCTTGTGATGTTACCATTCCCAATTCTGAATGTATGGTTTTGTTAGAAGGTGATGGTAAAATTTCATTATTTGAATGTTTCTCAATTGAATTTCTAGAGGTTGGGACTTTGTTAGTAGTTATTATATCCACTATCTTTATTCTGTCATCTTTCTATTCAGTAAAAAAAAAATTTAAATAATTTAAAAAGGGGAAAGTTGATAATTAAGTTCACTATCATGATAGAAATTGCATACAAGTTTATCTTTCTCAAAGGAGGTAAAGTGTACACAATGTAAGAGCCTATATATGGTGTTATCTTATTTTAAGTATAGGATGGTACCTCTATGTAACTTAAAAAATGATTATTTTATTATGCAGCAATGAAAAACTACTTTGATTTAAGTAAATAGTCAATAAATTTTTTATAATATTAAATATATTAGTTATTAAGCTGCTTGACTTTAACTGACTTTTAAAAATGGCTAACTCAATATTTTATCCAGAAAAATGTTACATAAGACTGAAGGTTTTTTTCATAGGATAAAGGTTTGGACCATTATCTGATAAATATAAAAAATACCTTATTGTTATCTAGGAATAATCCAGGAAGGCCAGACAAAAATACCTCTTCTAATCGATTACGTCGTTGTTTTTCTTCTTCACTCATATTTTGCCGCTTTTCCAAAATCTGTGAATGATAAGAGATTTCCATCTCAGCTAAATATAATTATTTAAAATTATTATATGGCATTACTTAGGTTTTTATGCTTAAGAATTTTATTAAAAAGAAAAGATTATAAATACATTTAAAATCAATTTTGTTTAATAACATTGTAAGTTTTCCAATTGCATTCTTTTTTCTTCTCTATATGCTGCTAGTTTCAAACGATGGTTAAGTTTATTTTCCTGTATGTCCATCTGATCAGTAGTATCTTGCAACAAGTATAATGAATTTTCAGTGTCTTCAAATAGACTTTCCAAACCAGCTTAGATATTTATTATATACATTATGTTTATACATATTTACATATAGAGGATAATATTTTATTCATATTGTTCATCATTTCTGTGAGTGATTCAGCTGAATTGATTACCTTTGTCAGTATTTTATCATTTTCATTACATTTTGATAAAATTTCTGATAGTACATTATCAATATTTGTAGCCTTTTGAGAGTTTTTTGTAGTTTCATGATGAATGTTAGACCATATGTCACTTGTGCTAATATTATTAATAGATTAAAATCTCAATAAATTTACTTATCAACTAAAATTTCCAATGAAGATTTTATTTTTATTTTATCAGTTTCCTCGTTTCTAAGATTATAATTTAGATATTTATTTATTAAGGTGATCTAACCTGGGTATTAACCCTTGTTGTAAGGTATCGGTTATTGTTTTCCTCAAGCTTGAAAACATATGGAAAATACTTTTGACCAAACCTTAGATGGCATTTAAATAATTTTTACTAAATACTAATCATTACCAAGATTGAATTTTGGAAATACGTGGCCCGATAGCACTAACTTAGCACAATTACTGACAGATTTAGCAGTGCGGTAAGGTCCTATAAGCTTTTGAAATATCTATTTTTTAAATATATGTATTCACAGATATTACCAGTATACTTGGGTAATCACTATATTTTTAGGCTTTTAAACTAATTTTTAACCCGCTAAAAAATCTGCTAAACCAAGTTTTTAGACAAAAACTAATATTTTTGCCTCAGATTTTTTTTTTAAATAGCAACTCAAATTTGGAAGAAACTAATATAAATTAAAACGCCTTAATGTTAACAAATATTCTCCAACAAATGCCTTAAGATTGAGCCTTATTTGCAGACATTAAGCCATTACTCAACTACAATTTCCAGTATTTTCTAAAGAATGAGGGAAAATATTAGGTAGGGTTCTTCCATAATTAGAGTTTGAGGCCTACCTAATACAAGCCTCTGACCGGGCTACTCAAAATAATTTAAGGTCTTCATAAATTTTTTTACTCTACCATCAAATTTCTCTTTTTTTACCCTAATTTTTTAATAGCTCTATTCAAAGTTTTTTTAACAGCTCTAGTGTATTTTTTAAAGGAGACGAAAAACTTAACTACGCTTGCGTATAACAAATTTAAATATAGGATTATAGCTTTTTGTTGAAGCTATTTCTACATATAAAATTCCTTAAATTGAGTTTTTCAATGAATAAATGACTAGCTTAATTCTTACAACGAAAAAAACTGGAGCGCATATAAGCTACTTGATGGCATATATTTCTTTAAACTTTTGCGAATTTATATACTCGAATAATTTCTCTTATTTTAATATATTCCAAAATTATATTTTTGGATATATCAGCATGGCTTCAACTGAATCGATTTCGAATAATTTGATGAATATATTTCATTGAAGAAACCAGACACGGAATTTCCTATATATATATTATGGAAATTTTACTTCATTTAAATATTTTAAAAATATCAAATATGTTTATCTAGTTTTGAAATTTTTTTAGGAGGGTAGTCAAAGGTTTTTAAAGGGGGTTTGCATTCAGTGAAAATCCTGTCATGTAGACGCTGATCTAGGTATTATTATAAGATACAAATGTCGTAGATTGTTTGATGGGTAGCTGTAGCCTAATACATTATATCTTAATATACCTACAAAAATATGGATCGAACATTTGCATTATTCTTATTCAATCCGTATTATCGATTCGAACAATCAAAAACATTATTAGATTTGATTCATCGAATATTTGATTCGAATAATAAATTCCCTGAAAAATTTTCAAAAATGGATAATTAAAATTTAAAAAGTGATGATTTATAGATGTGGAAAAAAAAAATTTTAAAAATAAATGAATAGTCCAGCAAAGAAACATGATATATAATTAAGAATAATTTCAACTATCTATTAATAGTTTTGAATATTTCTGAATAATCCAAATATTTTAAAAATAATTTTGAATATTTACAAATTAATTCGAATAATTTAAATAATACGAATAATTAGATAGAACAATAGATAAAAAAAAACAAAATTCGATCGAATAATATATATCGTATTCAATTCGAAATTCGCATTCATAAAATATGAATCGAATAAAATTAACTGAATAATTGATTTTTGGAATATATCATACGCACAGAATATTTTAAAAAAATCTTCAGTTTGGGGGATATTAAGATCACAAAATTAAAGATTTAAAAAAAAAAACATTTGTGATTTCAAACATGAAAAATTTTTTAAACTAAACATTTACTTATAAAAGATATTTTTATAGAATATCTTTCATTCCTCGGCAATTGTGCCGATCTCTCATTCAAAACAAAGATTTGAAATTTTAGGTAAAAATTGATCAAAAATCTTGTTTGAGAATTCTCAAAATTTTATTACTGTAAAATGTTCAAAGATCAAAAACCTTTTAAAAAACATTTCAAACTCTCTTACCAGAAAAAGAAAGAAATCAGCATTGTATGTATGTAGAGTTTGTGTTGTTAAACGGCTCATTTAGAGCCGATTTTTAAAAACCATTAACTCAATATTTTATTAGGAAAAATATTATTCAAGTCTTAAGATTTAGATCATAGGTGACAGAAGGGTTTGAACATCTATTACCGAAATCACGAGGCTTAGACTATATTTTTCGGCTAGAGTTACGTTTTTAAAAATAGGCTTAAATCGAGTTGTTTAACAACACTAGTACAAGCACTTTATGATTTAATTATTCATAATATAAAATATGATTTCCCTATTAAACAATTATATAAATATTTATAAATTTTTTCAATAGTCTTATATTAAATTTTATTTGATTACTAACAATTTATGAAGAAAAATTTTTTTTTTTATAAAATATAATCATAATTCATAATAATAATAATAATATAATACATAAATGCGTTTAAATTTTAAATATTTTTATTAATTAACGTTACAAATTATACAAATAAATACAATAAGTAGCTAAATAGAATACTTTTTTTTTAACACTAATATAATTAATTTAAAAATATATTTCGACAATAAGCGTGCGAAGTATGAATATAAATATTATTTATACTAATATAAATATGGATATAAAAAGATAGGAAATATAAATTATATTATATCAATCGGGTTTATTTAAGTTAACTTTCGGCAAATTTTCAATCATTAGTACCTAATAGAATAAATTTTATAAAAAGGGTATAAATTACATATCAGTGAATCATTAAAACCTCCAGTAATTTTTTACGAAATTCCCAGTATTTTTAAAATGAATATTTTTAATCAATATAAATAATAGAATATTAGTATTAAATACTAAAATTGGTCAGTATTTTATTTTATCAGTAAAAAAAAAAATTTGATCATTAAAAATTTAATGTTCATCAAAAAAATTTTCCAAGCAGATATAACTTAGGAAAGGAATAGGATTCGTGTTTAGATATTTTAAATCCGAGACGGGGGGGGGGAGAAACTAGGCAAAGCGTTAACTCGAATGCAATTTTCCATCCAATAAGGGTCAATATTTTGCGAATATGTGTCCAGTTTATAGGTGTAAGTTCATTTTCCATAATGAACGAGTACGTGTAGGGTCAAACTCTACCGGTATCCCTCGTTGGGATCGGTCCTAATGGCGATCCGTTGCCCTAACTCTTTTTTCAAAAAAAAGTCTAGGGCGTGAGAGCCGAAGGAAGTTAATGTCTTCGCAATTATGGATAGAAATATAGAATTAGTAGATAACGCTGGCGAATATTTGGGTGAACAAAAAAAAATCTCATGTTAGAGGATGACCTATTTTTCAAAGTGGTTACATGGTAGATGATGAGCCTTTGCCATCTGAACTGTATAGTCAGATGACCTAGGACGGAGATACCACTTCCGGCAGAAGATGATACTAAACCTTTATTTTTCAAAGTGTTAGCAAAATCTGATGTTAAGTTTTTTTCCTGATAAAAAATATTAATACTAATTTCTGGAAAAAAAAATATATTAATATCATTTAAAATTAATATATTATCTATTAGTGGTATACAAATATTATTATTATTATTATTATATTCACCTCGTATATTAAAAACATTAACTTTGCAGCATATTTTTTTTAAATATATTATACTCTTATGAAACAAAAAAATTAACTACTAAAATATTTCTCTAATATATTATTTTTTAGAAAAAAATTAACTAAAGTTATAATATCCCACTAAAATGAATAATTTACCTTAATAATAATTACCTAAATATGTAATAAAAGAAAAAATGTTTACTATAACTACTGACCAGGGGATATATATATTAATTTATTTGGCCAAAATTATTGGAAGATAACTGATAGTGACATATTTTTCATTTATATTTATAAAGTATATATAAATAAAAATTTGTTATTACAAATGTTTTAAATATTTTTTTTAAAAAAATACTGGCACCTTCGAATAAAATATGGAAGAAATTATAATTAACAAGCCAAAATAATACCTTTCGAAAAAGAAGCAAATTTTTATTATTTTTTTCAAAATGAGTTAAATATGTAAATCTTAAGATCACGTTTAAATAGTGAGCGCGAAATGGCGCGATGTTCGTTTAAGCGACGCGTAGTAATTTATCGCTAAAACGTTGGCGTAGCTGTATAATTTATATGTGTTGCTTATAGCGAACATCGCGATTACTATACTCGAGACCTTAATATAGATATTAATAATATAGAATATAATGTCAATTATGATATACGTACGTATTCGACTAAGTTGCTGTTTTGGCATTTTTGTTTTCCAAGGCTCCAATGATATCCCAGCTATATTTTAAATTTTTTAAAAAGATGGATTTTTTATTTATAAAAGGACGGAGAAACGGTTTAATGAAACCTTATGATATAGGCAAATATTCTCCATTTCGAAAGCCTTTTCAATTCGTTTTTTGGTCTGTTGTAAAAATAAATATTTTTTGTAAAAAAAAAAATTAAATTTAAAGAAAGAAAAGAAAGAAATTTAATTTTTTAAAAAAAAACCAACTTTTTCGTTTAAACAGATAATTGGTAGGAGGGATAGGCCACAGGTACAGAAACAAAAAAGAATTCCACCGAACAGTAACGCCAAAAGAAACACGAGATTTCTATCACGCATCCTTTTTTTATTGTTTCGTCTGCTTGTATCCGTGGCAAAATCTTGATTTTGTCGATGATTCGAACCGGTTTGATTTACGTTGCTCCCAACATTGTCGGAACTAATTTCGGTTCCGGTGACATTACGAATATAATTACGATTTTGAATCAAGGTGTCGTTTTTTTTCCTGATATCCGCTTTGCGTTTGTCGTAATTAAAGAACAGGGAGTTTTGGATGATCGCGTTTATCCTGTTTATGGTGTCCTTAAACTCTTCGGGGGCAACCTTTCATAAAGTTTATATTTTTTTTTTAAGGTTATATTTTTTCAACATTTTTTTTCTCGAGGCAGTCAATGGATAAACATCTCCGTCCGGTTCAAGATAACAGCGGTATAAAGATTGATTGACGTATCAAATAATACCGTTAATATTCATTGCAGAGATGTGAATTCATCATTTTTAACGGCTTAATTCTCAACGACTTTTTACCCCTGCATTAACAGTGGATAATACAAGCATTCAGGCTTATTTTGTATAATTCGCCACGGCGCTAACTGCTGAATGCAGGGTAAGAAATCAGTTAAAACGTTTTGGACTGGTCACATGGAGCGATTTAATAAACACTACTTTCGAAAACGAGAGTGGCATCTTTTATTCGACTCCCAGCTGTTGTAATAACTGATTTTATTAAAATTTTCTATTCGTCTATTTATAAAATCACGTGATCCATGAATTGTTAATTAAAAAATGATTAAATTTTATCTTTAAAAAATACATTCATGATATATAACAGGAATTTTTTGTAACGGGGAACTTAATCAAAATCGATTTTTTGAAAGAGGTCTAAACCCGCCCGAGATTGATGGGTTGCCCATAAATCGGTCTCTGTTTTGTCTGCAGTCTCGAAATGCCCAACCAAACAATTTTAAATTTCTGAAGTATAATTTGGGTTAACGATTCTGCCTCATTCACATCTCTCTAACCTTTACTCGAGCTCCTTACCTCAGATACTTGTTTAATTTTAAATACATCTCATCCAATCAAAAAAAAACTTCCTTCAGTTAAATGTTCCTTGAATGTAAAATTTTCTTGAATGATACAATAAAAGAATCAGCTGATGGCGGAATAAAAAATAAAATGAAAGTTATTATTCGATTTTTTAAATGTATAAGAATTATGGTGCATATAATAAAAAAAATTGGGGTTGGGGGGGAAGGGGTGAAAAAAATAAAAAGAGTGAATTAGAGATGAATTTTATATAATTGTCATACAAACAAATGTTTGGCAAGCTGACTATACGGGTAGCTAAGCCTGGGCTACTTTTTCATAGATATCTTTTTAAAGTAGCTATAGGGTATAGTAGAGATCTGCAAAAGTAGGCCCGGCCCGTACCCGGCCCGGCCCGAACGGGCTTCGGGCCGGGTTTGGGCCTACTTTAAAAAAAAATTAGGGTTCGGGTTGGGTCGGGTCTAATATTTTTTAAAAAAATTCGGGCCGGGTCGGGCCGGGCCTTAAAATATTTTTAATATTGGCACTAATATTTTTTGTAAAATAAAAATATTTAATTTTATTTGAAGAAGCTAGACGCCATATGATGGCATGTATCTTTTATTCTTGGTATAAATATATATTTAAACTTTTTTTTAAGAAACAAGGCGGCAACATTTTTTATTTGTAAAATATAAATATTTAATTTTATTTATTTAGAAAGTAGACCCCATATGTCATATATATTTATTATGGGTAAAATAATTTAAATGTTTTTTTATAAAACTTATATTTTAAATATAATTTAAAAATGAATTTAATTTTTTTAAAAAAACAAATACAAAATGGAACATATATTTGTTTGCCCCATTTAGGTAAAAGCAATATATGGGAAAATTTTGAAGACATATTTGATGATAAAAACAAAAAACTTGATTACGTCCAATGTAAAAAATGTAATAGTATATTACAATATAAAAGCACATCTGGAAATTCTCATTTAAGACGTCACAAGTGCGTTAAGAATGACGATTCCTCTATTCCTAAAATAACTAGGTATATTCAAAAGAAAATAGATCTAAATTCTTCCTTAACTATTAAAAAGAAACTATGTGATACCTTGATCTATTATTGCGCCAAGGACATGCGTGCCTTTGATTCGATAACTGGAGATGGCTTTATAAAAATGGCTCAAAATTTTATTCAAATTGGCTCCATTTACGGTAATATTGACTGTAGCGAAATTATTCCCCATCCAACTACTTTATCGAGAAATGCTATAGTTATGACGGATCAAATTAGAACAAATTTGGTTAATAAAATAAATGTTCAATTATTTGATAAAAAATGCTCTGCTACAACAGACATGTGGACAGATTCTTTTAAAAAGTTTTCCTATTTAACTGTTTCAATTCATTATATCGAAGGTGAAACCTTATATAAACATGTTTTATTTACGAATAAGTTTAAAGAAGAGAAAAAAACCGCCGCGAACATACATAAGGAAATGCTACAAAATTTTGCTGCAATTGGAATAATTCCCGATCAAGTGAAAAATATAATATTTATATCTGATCAAGGAGCTAATATAATTAAAGCCCTAGAAAAATACACCAGATTAAATTGCAGCGCACATCTATTAAATACTGTTCTTCGAAATACCTTTAAGGAACAATCTTTGAAAATTATCGCTCCTAATATATATCAAACCCTTATTTCTGCTAAAAAATTAACCATGTATTTTAAACAAACCGGCATGAATCAATATTTAGACAAAACATTACAACAAGATATCGAAACTAGATGGAATTCAAAATTAAATATGTTGAAATCTATTTATAACCAATATGATGACATCGTCAATTTTTTATCATCCAAGGGAGATATTAATAAAATGGAAAACTTGGAGAAATCTATTTTGAAAAATTTGATTGATATTTTATATCCTTTTGATAAAGCTACTAAAGAACTAGAAGGAGATATTAATCCTACTTTACATAAAGTACTGCTATGCTTTAATAATATTCTTCACGAGGATTTAAATGATTCATTTTATCAAAACAATGAAATAAAAGAAATAAAAACCAATTTAAAAAATTTTTTATTATCTAAATTTAAAATCAATATTTTGCATAAAATAGCGACATTTTTATGCCCCAAATATAGAAAATTAAGAATGTTATCATCAATGGAAATATTAGAAGTAGAGAATTCAGTCAAAAATATAATTAATTCTGAAGAATATTGTCCTTCAATTGATATTATAGATTTGGATATTCAAGGCGTTTCTCAAATTGTGGAATCGCCTAAAAGATCTAAAGGTACATTTAAAATTGTTCTATTTATATTATTTTTATATATCAGGCAATGAATATGAAAGATGGGAGGACAATGAGGAAGAATATGAAAAAAAAGAAACAGATGAGCTTGAAATTTATAAGAATTTAAACATAAAAGAGAATAATGAAAATATAGATCCAGAAAAAGATATATTAAAATGGTGGAATAAAAATGAAATTAGATTACCAAAGATGACAAAATTGGCTAGAAAAATTCTAGCAATTCCTGCAACGTCCACAACTTCAGAGAGAACTTTTTCAAAGACTGGAAGGTTATTAGACGAAAGAAGAAATAGACTGTCACCAGAAAATGTTGATGCTTTGATATTTTTAAATGATAATTATAAATATGAATCTAATATATAGTTGTGTAATTTAACATTATAATTATTTTTGGTTTATAGGCATTTTTGATAGTATTTTAAATAAATAATTAAATACTAAATAAATTTTCTGTTTACTAAGATATTTTTTGCAAAAACAAAATCTTAAATATCAAAAATAAACTAAAAGCTAAAAAAAATATAATTATTACTTTAGGATGAATTAAAAAAAATTCGGGTTCGGGCCGGGCCGGCAAAAATTTCGGGTTCGGGCCGGGCCGGCAAAAGTTTCTAAAAAAAATTCGTGTTCGGGCCGGGCCGGGAAAAATTTTTTAAAAAAAATTTCGGGCCGGGTCGGGCCTAAAAAATTAGGCCCGTGCAGATCACTAGGGTATAGCTCTAATTTTCGTGAGTAAGCTAGCTATGTTGCAGGTTTTTTTTAAAAAAAAATGATAGCTAATAAAATTTATTTTAAAAAATTTATTTTTAAATATATTTACTATTTTTTAAATTCAATTCAACTGTTTTTTAAAAAAAAAGCAGTAGATTTTTCAAGACGGCGAGATTAAGATTTTCGCCAAAATTATAATAAGTATGCCTCAAGATTTTGGCAAAATGAGGTCCAAATTAGTGTTGTTAAAAAGGCTCGTTTTGAGCCGATTTTTATATTTTAGCCAGAATAAAGAATGTTCTGGATAAAATATTGAGTTCCGTTTAACAACACCGGTCCAAACTTTTGTGCCCATCTACGAACAAAATCTACAGGTTTATATAAATTATTTTGGCCAAAATCTTAATCGGGCCATTTTTAAAAAACGACCCACAAATACAAAATTGAATGTAAGATAAATTTCGGTTTAAATACAAAAACAATTTAATCGTATATTTTATTTAATGTTTTGATTTAGAAGTCAAAGCATTTGCAACAATATTTAAAAAAAAAAAATTTTTTAACCACTTGTAATTCCCTTTTAGGATTTCAAATCGAATTTTATGTTTGAAGGAAAGGGACTCGTTTTCAATCACCCACTTTATTGGAAATTTTTTTATACCCAATTGATTTCAAAATTTTAGGGATTTGGGGAACCGAGGTTTCCCAAAACACTAAAAATTAAAAATAAAAGAATTTTAAGGACATTGCATTTCTTGGATTTCCAAGAGGTCTGAGTTTCTACTAGCGGGAAATGAGGTAACACATGACACATCCTAGAAAAGTCTTTTGCCGTAAAGCCACGACGTTAAAGACATGCCAACGGGACGCTTTCCTCATTTAGGAGACCTAACGGCCTAAAACTATTGTTTGCCGATCAACCTATTTAGATTGTCAAGTCGCAAAAAACGGCCACTGACTAAAAATCCTAAAATTTTATGCTGATTTGAGTCGATTTAAATGGACCTTTATTGCAAGCAGCACAGATGTCAACAGACGGGATAAGACAGCTAGCCGAAGGCCAGTGGCAATTTGAAACTCATCGTTATTTGTAACATTTTCTTTTTTCCACACAGGATCGCGTCTAGTCATTCATGACCGTTAGGATTTTTTTTGCGTTTCTGAGTAGTCGAATAGATTCGGGACACAAATAAAGTTTTTCAAATGCACATTGAAGCATGGGAACAAGAAAGCTCTTTAAATGGCGGGTAACGGGGTGCTCGGATCCTCGGAGAAATAGAGTAAGCCAAGATAGTTTGGACGAAGTTAAAGGGGGATCGTTCAACTCGATAATCGAGGAAATAGAGTAGTTAAAGGATATCCGAGAAGAAAGAAAACGAGTAATTGCCATTGAATTGCGGGATGAAAATCCAAGTCCTCCCTGGTAAGCAGACAAATAGGCAAATGACCAATTAAAATCACAAAACTTTAGGAGTAAAAGGGATTCGATAAAATGTTTAAATTTTAATTCGGAGAACTTAAGGAGCGAATTATATCGGAAAGCCGGGGAAGATTTAAAGATGTGCAAGAATTTATTTAAGAAAAAACATTTTGGTGAGGGAAAAAAAAAAGAAAGATTAGGAGATTCTTAGGGAATTAAAAAGAGATTGAATCAAAATGTCAAAAATATTTCGACAAAAGATGGTCGAAAAGCCGATAGGAGAACCTAACAGGCAGAGTTCCTCGTGCGAAATGATTTTAAAAACTGGGGGAGGGATAAAATCCTTATTGTTGAGGGAAGATATATCACATTTTTTTCTATTAAAGGAAAGACCAATTTATGAATCTTCCATTTCAACGTACTCGATGGCCGACATAACATTGGGTAAAGATTCGCCAAAAGAGCCATCGTCAAGATACCATAAATTAAGGTTTAATTAGAAAATAGACTTTAAATTTTTGATCAAATCCTGAATACCAATAATAAAGAACAAGGGACCTAGTGGATCACCTTGTTGAATCCCCTCTTCAGAGAGAAAATTCCTCGAGTTTGAGTAACGATGGAAATCCATAGCAGGAATTAAGGAAATTCCCATATTTGGGTAAATATTGTAAGAAAGAAGTTAAAAATGAGCTCCTATAAATGCTGTTGAAGGCATTTCTTAAGTTTAACTTGCAGAAAACCTTATTTGCCTCGGTGTTCATAAAAATACGCTATATGTGAGGCCATTTCGCACCCACCTCTAACTCTAAAACCTAACTATGAGGGAAATAGGAGGGAACAGACCTTAGACCGGATCTATTTACTATAACCTTGGCGATTAATCAACGAAAAAATGACCCTATGGTTATGGGTCTAATACCACCATCCAGTTTGGTTAAAGAAACAAGACGTGCACCAAAAAGAATAAGGCGTATATCCAGTTGAACGATCCCCTTTTAACTTCGGGCCAAACAATATTAGCTTACTCTAGTTCTCCAAGGATCCAAGCAATCCGTTTACAGCCATTTAAAGAGATTTCTAGTTCCCTTGCTTCAATGTGCATTTGAAAAACTTTGTTTATGTCCCGAATCTATTCGACTACTCAGAAACGTAAAAAAATCCTAACGGTCATGAAGGGCTAGACGCGATCCTGAGTGGAAAAATGAAATGTTACTCACAAACGATGCATAGGCTAGGTTGTCTTATCCCGTCTGTTGACATCTGTGCTGCCTGCAATAAGCAAGGTCCATTTTCTAGACGTTGTTTCTCTAAAGTCAGTGGCCGCTTTTTTGCGACATGACAATCTAAATAGGTTGATCGGCAATCTTTGATTTCGGCCTCTTTCCCCAATAGTTTGGAGCTGTTAGGTCTCCTAAATGAGGATGGTAAGCGTCCCGTTAGCATGTCTTTAACATCGTGGCTCGCCGGCAAAAGACTTGTCTGGGATGTGTCATGTGTTACCTCATTTCCCGCTAATAGAATCTCAGACCTCTTGGAACTCCAAGAAATCAAAATGCAATGTCCCTTTAAAATTCTTTTATTTTTATCCCTCTAAATTATTAGTGTTTTGGAAAACTCCGGTCCCCAATCCCTAAAATTTTTAAATCAATTGGGCAAATAAAATTTCAATAAGGTTAGGGGTTAAAAACGAGTCCATTTCCCTCAGACAAAAAATTCAATTTGAATTCCTAAAGGGGAATTGTAAATGTTTTTTCGAAACACTCCCTTTTGCCAAGGGGGTGGAAGAAGCACTATTTGGTGAATTTATTCCCTATAAATTTTGTTGAAGAATCTTTTCCCACCTATTGTGGGCCTTTGGCTTATATTTGATTTTTATAAAAATATAATAATTTGTACATAAAATTTTGAATATGTATATTTTACAATATAGTGTCCTAATGATAATCATATCTGGCTGCTTACATATCGCCCCTGGATATCACATTGGTTACAGTTTATTTTTTTATTTTTAATACTTTTTATTTAGAATATTAAATATAACGCCATCTATATTATATATTTTTATCTACAAAAATAATACAAATTTAAATAAAAAAACAAAAATGGCTATTGAAATTTTAAATATTTTTAGAGAATAATCAACACCCAAAAAAATCTCTTTTCAAATAATGTTAATTTTTATTATTATCAAAGATAAGAAAACACTTGGAATTTTTTTTTCCAATGTATAATTTTAAAGGCGAATTTCTATTTAAAAAAAACAAGATTTAATGAAATCTGTGTGATTTTCAACTTTGAGGTGTATATCTTTAGATCTGGTTGAGCTGCATTCTAAAATTTTGATTTTATTAACATTTAACATGACAAGTTTCATTCATTTTTATGTTGACCATATGAATCACTGGTCAATTTGTCATGGAATTACCTATATGGCAGGTCTGATCTTGAGAAATATGTGAACCAGCTGCTTCTGTGGGATTGTCATGAATGGCCATAGGAATATAAATGTGCTTATTATCAAATATTTATGACATTTCAGGTATAACATAAAATGTTTTAAAAAGTCCCTTTTTGAGAATTAATATTAATTTCATACTTCTTTTTTCTTCATTTCTCAGTCTCTAAATAAAAATTCTCCCCAACACCCCCAGTTTGAACTTTATAATTTATGAAATAAAAGATTATATGGCATGTCCTAACAATTCATTTCACCGAAACAGTATTTTTTTTTATTAATTTAGTTTTTCTTTCTAAGGGTCCAAAATTATTATATAATAAATATCAATATGAGTATCAAATAAGTGAATCTAAATCTTAATTAAAATAATAACTCAATTTAGATGAGGGTAATTTAAAGTATATTTGACCAAAAAGTCTATATATTAAATAAAGAATCTATTGTGTAATCATCTTTTTTATCTTAAGGGCTAACTAATTATAAGTCAAAAAGTTATTTCAGTAGTTAAGGTTAGTCTTATTATAAATATCATAGGCCTTAATATTTTATGAATTAATCTACTTGATGAACTCAATTCTATACTAAAATATAATGCATTTATCTTTTTCAATTGAATTTTTATGATGCAAATGTCATATTTATATTATGCTATCTTGTATCAATAATATGTGGCTTCAGTAGTACAGTGTATTTTAGTTATTAAGCGTTAAGAATTCAGAATATATGAGGGGAGGGGGTAAAAATGTTAAGAAAATATGAGGATACATTTTAACGGTGTAGGGGACAAAATTGTCAGTGTCTTATAGTGCAATGTAATTAAGTTTTTATATTTTGTTATGCAAAACACAAAGTATAGCACAGATAATCATTTTTAAAAAATTATATTTTTATACTATTTTTAGCAAATGTTTATTTTATATATAAAAAAACCTTCAATCCTATTGGGTAATCTGTATTGAATTTGTTGTTGAGACCAAATCTAATATTAAATTTTTTTGATCAATGAATTTTATCTAAATATTTGTTACATAGTAATATGACCGGTTCCTCTTATAATGATAGGTTCAGTTTTATTTATGAAATAACTCTCTGGATTATCTAAGGTAAGATCTTCGTTGTCAGTCATATGTCATATCATCATATTAAGAAATTATTGGAATTTAAATAGAAACTATGTGAAATTTCACTGACAAATGTCAATTATGAAATTTCATAATGTGAAGATTATTTTGTTGTAAAACTATTAAATATTTTTTTACTATTAAGATTTACACGTTTTTATTAAAGAGATATTAGAATTAAATATTCAAAATTAAAAAGAATATCATTTCATATTATATAGCATCACGGAGATGGAGGGATAAGGGTGCAGGCTCGAGCTCTTTAATAAATTTGAGTGTATTTGCCTGGTTTATAAAAATTTCTGAATGGCACTCTAAACGAAAAGATTTTTCTGATAGCCCTATGAACAATTTTTTTAGAATTCAATTTTGTATTTTATATTAAATGGCTATTATTTTTAAAAAATTATTTAATTTTATATTATTAAATATAATAATTGTTTATTAATTGAAACTAAAATTAATCCTGTTTAATTGTGATTTTAGCCGAGTTTAAAATCACTTATCAAATACCCTTTTTCCTTTAATTTATTATGCCTTTTTTTAAAAAGATTTATAAGATCCTAACCAATATAGGAAAGTTCGTTGTTAAAACATTTAGTATAGTATATTTAATTTAAAGATCCTTACTCATTTATTTTATATCTATTAAAAAATGAAGAAAGGTGAGTTTGATAGGAATTTTTTAAATGTTGGAACTGGAGGTAATATTGATATTATGAAACAATTATAGACAATGAATGTATTTATGCACATTTAAAATACAGTTTTTCAATTTCATACTTTTTTATATAATAAATGAAGGTTTATTGTGGTTCTGAGATATATATATTTATAATGGAAGCAAAACGGTTAAGATAAAAAATAGTTAAATTAATTTATATATATGAAAAGATAGGAAAATAATAATGGTTTTTCTAAATATAATTCATCTCATCTTATAAATTTTTTAATCTTGTATTTATATAATTTTACAAAACTAAAATTAGAATATAAAATCAAAAGATTAAGTTATAAAACGAAAAGCAAAAGTAAAGATAAAAGTATAATTTGTACAATTTGAATAAGTTAAATATATCAGAATTAATTTAATGAATGCGTGTTATATAAAATTTAAACATATTACTATTTAATAACCAAATATATAATATTTTAATTTATTAATTCCTATTATATAACAATATAAGATATTTTATTTTTAAAAATAGGTTGAATCTGCAGGTAAAAACTCTGATAGTCAGGGGCGTAACTAGTTATTACAATTGTAGAAAATTTCTTTTTAAAATTATTTTCAAAATTACCTCTTTTTAATATTTTCCACAATTACTTTATTTTTTAACTAAGATCATCCTAAATTACTATTCATAAGTGTTATAAAAAAATTAAAAATTTTTAGGTAGCTCCGACATATATGTCATTGAGTAGCTCTTCAAATTGGCTCGAGCTCCGGGGTGCCCCTCCCTAGTGGCGTTAGTGTTAATAGTAGTAATTTTTTATTATAATTAAATAAAATTAGACATATGCATGGAATCTGATAAGGTTGCTAAGAACAATCCATATAGAAGTATATTGAATAATGAGGGAGTTGTAGTTCTAAATACATTTTTAAACTAATCTTATTTTAATTTTTGTATGATAAAGAAAGAAGATTAATTATGAATTCGAGAGTTTTTTTTGTATGACCTCTCTAAATCTCTTTCCTCTTAATTGACATTCTTTAATTGTATCGACAATTCTTCACTTACATGATCTAATTTATTTAAAAACCAATTATAATATATTTTTATCGAATGATACATAAAATGTCATTAGTAATATCATAAATAACATATCCCCATAATTGATTAAAAAAATATTTTAATGATTTTTAAATTTTTAATATCTCAATCAATCGCTTGATCAGATGATAAAGGTGCTGTGATCGTTAGCCAATTCCAGACGGTTGAATCTACTCTTGATGGTTCATTCATTTATTGATAGAACTCTGTCCAATATGTCTTAAATTCAATAGTTTTTCTATCTCAATCAAGTTATATGTCATTACTTTTCTGGTCCCATAATTTTCCCCACTTCTCGGTCGCAACTGGTCAGGAAGATATCTAATGACTCTCGATCTAGACTCTGTTTCGTAAATATAAACCAATTTGTCTTTATAATTGTTATATTCGCTTTGTGAATATGTGATCGACGATTGTTAATTATTAATTTGAATATAAATTATATTTTTATATAATTTGTTAGTTTGTGAATATGTGATCGACGATTGTTAATTATTAATTTGAATATAAATTATATTTTTATATAATTTGTTAGTTTGTGAATATATGATCGACGATTGTTAAGTATTAATTTGAATATGCAGTCTAGGAATCTATTTTTTTATGAACTTGAATAGACTTTTAATTTTAATTATTTTTTATGAATACTTGTAATTTTTATTATTTTTATGAATTTTTAATATACTTGTAATTTTTTTGCATATTAAAAAAATGTATATAAATGAAAAAATTTTAAAATAAAAATTAATATATGGTTTTATAATTGAAGAAACTTATTTTTGTGGCATTCGAGATTTGGTTTCATAAGATTTATTAACCGAATTATTCAATTTTTTATATATTCTTTTTTATTAATACTAGGTTCCATTAAATTCATTAAAGTCTCTCCCACGAGCATTCGACAATTTGATTACAATTCATATAAAGATTTGTAACATTGGTACCTTATATTGATAGGTCCAGGCTTTAAAAGATTGAAGGCAGTCTAATTATACTTTGGAACTAGGTAAAAAAAAAATATATATTTATATATAAATTTTTAGATATTTTTCGGTTAAAAAGGAAAATTTTTGTTTATATTATATAAATTTCTTATCATATTGTTGGTTTTATTCGTATTTTTATATTTATTGATTTTTTTAAGATTAATTAAGATTATTTTAATTAAGTGGTTATTGAGTACGTTATTATGTATATTACACAAATAAATTTATTAAGTTTAATACATGAAAATATAAGTATAATTATATTTGTGTTTCTAGTTTTAAGTTACTTTAGGATTAATAGTAGGAAGAAATACATCTATTATAAGATTAGAAAATAAAGAGCTAGAAAAAATTAAAAATGTTATAAGAAATGAAAATAAGATAAGTCAATTAGATAATGTTAGGTCAGTCAAGTGTTACAGTTATGGAAGATATGGACTTGGACACATTTCGAGGCAATGTGAATCAACTGAAAATTTGAATTGCGCGAGATGTGGACGTAAAGGCCACATAGTTACCAATTGTGTTTCTTGGACAATAATTTTGTGTGTTTAAAATGTGGTCAAAGAGGACATGCTCAAGAAGACTGTAATAAATGACTATATAAAGATAAGGATAATTCTATAAATTATAATATTAATAGTATATCTGATTTTTATAATTTTAGTTATAATTTAAAAATAAATGATTATAATATTGATTTAAAATATATAAATAAATATAATGTTGATGATAAAAAAATTTTAAAGGAAAAAGTTGAACTAGACGTACATAAAATTGATTTAGAAAAAATAATTAGGAAAAATAAATGTCCGAGAATTAAGATAAAAATAGGTGATTGAAATATGCTTTTTATTGGATACAGGAGCTGAGATTAGCCTAATGAGTGTAAAAGATTTTAATAAATATTTTCCAAAAGAAAGATTCATTGCAAAGAGAATAAAAGTTAGACAATTAGACGGTAGCAGCGTCTACATGAGCGGGAGGGGTAGGAACAGTTTGCATCCTATTTTTTTGAGGGGGTAGGGGGTAAGCTGCTTTAATGGGGGTAGGATAAATTTTTTGGATGGTCATCTATTAAATTTTGAGATGATATAGAACAAAATTAATGCTGTAAAAATTAATACTTTTATTATAGTATTATTATAATACAATTCATCGACCAAAACTATATATTGCAAACAGTCATACACATTGTTTTCCAAATAAACTATCCTTTTAAATGTAATTTAAAAGGTTTAGATATTTCAGCAAGCTCATAATGCCATAATAATTAATTCATTGTAAATAATGGAGGTTTTATTTGAATTTATTATCTAAAAAATAAATTATTTACATTCACAAAATATCGATAGTTGGTAGTAGAGATAGATTAATTTAAGTTATGCTTTATAAATTCTTTGAAAAGAGTATCAATAAATAAATAGGTGAAAATAATAATAAAAAGACACCGCCGCCGAAGGCGGCAGGAATTTTTAAGGGGGGTAGGGAAAGGTTTTTGAAGGGGGTTTTTATCCAGCAAAAATCTTGTCATATAGACGCTGGACGGTAGCATGGTTAAAATTCTAGGTTTTTATGTGATAAAATTGTTAGATATAAATAAGGAAGTAAAGTTATGGATTACGACACTAAAGATGGAGCCTATTTTAGGTTGGAATGACATTGAGAAGATAAGTCCTGAGTATAATTGGTGGTCTTTGTTTGAAAATGTCCGTGAGTAAAACAAAATAACGAATGAGATAATAAGAAGTGAGGATAAAGAGAAGACTGATTTACCTTGTTTAAGAGTTAAACATGATATAGTTCTCGATGAACTCAAAAATCGAACACCAGAATTTTTAATTAGATATAGAAGTCACTTAGAAGAAATAAGGAAACAAGAGATATAAAGACAATAGAAGTAAATACAGTCGAAAACAAACAACAAGGAATTAATAAGATGGTAGAACTGAATGTTGTTGAGGATAATTTTAACAAAGAAATAAAGAATATTTTGAATAGATATAAGAAAGTCTTTAAAGAAGAATTAGGGACTCTTAAAGATTTTGAAGTAGATATACGATTAGAACAAAATTATCGACCTAAATATTGCTGCACAAGAAGATTGCCGTTTTCGTGAATAGAAGATATAGATAAAGAATTAGGCAAATTGTTAAAAGAAGGAATTATAAAACCAATAGTGCATAGTGTGTGGGCAACACCGTTAGTTCCCATAAGAAAACCAGATAACAGTTTAAGACTGTG